GCTGTCGCTGGAGCGAAGCTTCAGCTACAAGCTGAGTTGAATTGAATGAGAAAAAGGCAATTAAAAAAAAGTGAATAAACGGGAACAGACCAACTGGTGTATTTGTAGACTTATATTAGCTAAGGGCGCTGCAGTGTATACTGTTGCCATACCAGGGGATTTTATAACTCGTATTATATAGGTAAGAGTACAGACTGAGTTTACGTTGTATTGCTGTATCTGCATATATACCGAAATAAACCGAAAACCCTACCCTCAATCCAATCGTGGCCGGCGGCGTCTGATTGCTCCGAGAGATAATTTATTTAGAGTTATTTCCGTTTGTATTTAAATACCAAAACCGAAAAATTTAAATACAAACGGAAATAACTCTTAATAAATTATCTCTCGGAGCAAACGAAATGTCAATGTATGAGAGCGTTTCGTGCAAAAATATCTAATTCAGAGAGGGAAAGCAGAGCGGCGGAGGAGCCCGTAGTGTATTGCCTAGCAGTACAACATCAGTGCCAGCTATGCTGCACCCACAGTAGGTAACTACCGACTAGCATAAGCATCCTAGCAAGAAAGATGAAAAGTTTATAGTTTATTGTTTTATATGAGTGGAGTAGGAGGAGCAGAGCATGTACGAGTGAAGCAGGGTGCAGGCCTAGCAGGCGAGCGGTGCGAGGATTCCCCCAGTGTTGGCGGGGTGAGCCCGGGCGGTACCATACAAGAAACACGAATGCAGATGGGTATATTTATATTTATATTTTCACTAGAATACTAGCATAACCCTAATAAAAACCAAACATATAGTTTTTTTTTTAGGTTACCGCTTGTTACCGTTGTGATCTCTTCGTATTCCACTGGCCTTGCCTGTCTACTGCTCCTCTCTATACTATATTTCGCCGCGGGTGCACGTTGATTGCATTCACCTTGACTCTATAGAGGTAGCTGATCCTACTCTTATCACGGGGCTAAATTCTTATTGTTATATAAATACTATTGGGTGCATCGTCGGCTCTAAGAAGTTTCAGGGTTTCTATGGCTGGCCTGTTGAATACACGTGGTCTGTACCGATGCTGGTGCGGTTCAGTGTTATGCAACCTTCCCAGCAACCGATAAATTTGGGGGGAAAACTCAGGTTTAATAAAGAATACACATTTATTATTGTTATTATATAGTAACACATTATAATTATTCTCTTTTTTACTCTGAAAGTTTGTCTGTATCTCACTGGGGGGATGGCTTCACTCCAGCTGGCGGCGGCGCCTTCAGGGGATTGAACGGCATTATGTAAGCAACGGCGGAGCAAGGAAGGAGGCGAAACTGTGCGTATTTTCATCATTATAATTCAGTTTCGGGGTAATTCTTTGGTAAAAATATCAAAATATAAGTATATAACATGCGGATGAAGCCCCACCAATGTTCAGCACTTAGCCGTCATACGACTGACGAACCTGGGGCTCGCACGGTGGGAAGCACCACCTTCTCGTAGTTTTTCTTATTTGTTTCTTCTCTCTTCCTTTTAAAAAGTTGAATTCTTTGTTTTTAATTTGATTTTTTTTGGTTTTTTCCACCCGCAATTACTACGCTGCCGCTGCTGAGCAGGGAAGATGGCGAGGCAAGCAGACACCACCACGAAACCACCGAAACGTCGGCAGCAGCAACTCATGCAAAACAGGATATGCATGGCTGCGTTCTCCTCTAGAAAATACCTTTTCCCTTGATTAAATCAATAGTTTTTGTTTAATTTAAACATTTCCGTTGCTTGTTTCTTCTTTTTTAGCAGAGAAACGCCCGGAAGCGCCCCGATTGAGTTGCTGCGCGAGGGGGGAAAGCTCTACACCGAAGATGAAATAGCTCTTCCGCCTGGTGTTTCTCCGCTTGTTAAAGGAATTTTAATTCCAAATGGATTCGTCAAGGACAGAGTAGAGAAAATGGTAATTCAATTCATCTTAGTTTCACTTGTTTCGCCTTCTATTTGCCGCACGGGCAGCTGAAAATGCTCTTCTACTGAACACAAACACTGCTAGCATTTAAACTTTATAGAGGAAACTTGTTTATATACTTCTCTTTCGCGACAGAAAAGGGTATAGAACACCTGAACAGAGTAAATATACATGTATATACATATGCAGCAGTCACATTTATTTATCTATGACTATCAAGTGTTTGAATAACGTAAACATAAGTATGCATATATGTTCATGAATATTAAATGCCAGAAAAGGGTAAATATATAATATAAATGTATATTTATATTATATTTATTTACTCTTCAGGCCTATGATATCCGCAATTTCTATAAAGAAGGCGAGTTGCACATGCTGTGCCTTCTTAAGGGGGCCCGCACTTTCTTCGGTGATCTCAGTGGTTTTATCTACAAGCAGGAAAGGTGTATATATTATTTATTATTTTTTTTATTATTTTGTTTTCTGCTGGTGTTTTTTTCTCCTTTATAGAGGCTTGCGTATATATTTATTGTTCTTGTCTTGTTTCTTTGTTTTTCTGTATCCCCGACGACGTGCGCGTGCACTGACTGTTCGCGTTTCGTCTTTCTCTCCTTTTCTCCTCTTTTAGTTGTGATCTCTGCTGATATTATCAGCTGCCTACAGCAGCTTCCAACAGGGCAAAGGCCCGTGTTGTGTGTGTGTGTGTGTGTGTGTGTGTGTGTGTGTGTGTGTGTGTGTGTGTGTGTGTGTGTGTGTGTGTGCGTGTGAGTGTGTTACTGTTGCCTCCCTGTGTCTGTTTCATTCTCCCTGTCCCTGATACTTTAAAAGAGTAAAGCAAATGCTTTTTATCTTCTCCTTTTATTTCGCTGCAGCGTAGCCAGCGGTGTTGTCGGCCCTGATCTATTTCACCACTTCATTCAGACCAGCTCCTACAAAAACGGAGAGGCGACCGGCGAGGTGAGGCCCAAAGAAATGCAGTAGAGGCAATAAGAATGCAACAGCAACAGAAACAGTTGCTTCTGTTGCTCTTGTTGTTGCTGTTGCTGCGCTTTCATGGGTGAATATGTGCGTAGAACGAGTGGATTTTGTGGCTATCTTCTCTGCCCTTCGTTTGCTTCTTTCTACTCCTCGCCAGTATGCTGCTGCTGCTGCTGCTGCTGTTGCTGTTGAAGCAGCAGCTGCAGCAGCTACAGCAGTTTCAGCAGCAGATGCAAATGCTTTTGTTTGTATGGCTATATACCTGCTCAGGTATCTTTTGTTGCTGGGGACTTGAGTTGCTTGAAAGATAAAAATGTTCTCGTCGTCGATGACGTCGTAGAAAGCGGGAAAACTCTGCAACGCGTCCGCCAGTGGCTCGATCAGTTCAAACCCAAAAGCGTTCGCACTGCAGGACTTGTACAAATTCGGTGCGTAGTATGGTGGCTTTCTTTAATTTAATATATGTATAATATATAAAATATAATTATTATGAAATTTTATATATCTATATATAGCATAGTAAAATATTCAGGAAATATCTATATCTTGGATTAGCCCGGGGTTACACTTATCGACTGAAAGGGGTTTTTGTTTTCTCGTATCTTATATCACTGTCTTTTTGTGCTATATTTATATAAAACATTTGTTCCTTTTATATTGTAGCTAACTATTTTCTTGCCTTATATACTTGTTCACTTGTTCTTATATTCAGAATAAAGGGGAATATGCCGTCAGTGTTTCTTTTTTTTCGATCATAGATCACTGTCATTTGTGTTAAATTAATGTACGTTTGTTCTTTTTTATTGTACCTAGCTGTTTTATTCCTTTATATATTTATTTTTTTGTTCTTGTATTCAGAATAAAGGGGAATATGCCATCAGTTGACTTTGTTGGTTTCACTGGGCCTGAGGAGTGGCTGGTTGGCTACGGTATAGACTACAACGACAGGTTCAGAGATTTAGCTCATATATGCGTTCTAAGTGAATCTGCAAAGAAAGCTTTGGCTGTATAGTATTAATATTAAAAACCCTAAGAAATAATAAAACTAATCATGAATTTTATTCACAAAATTGTGTTTATACTATCAGAAACAACCCACTAGAAAGCCAACTTAACTTAAGCTTTCCTCGTTCCTGTTGTTCAAAAAGGAACAGGTTTCGAGGCCAAAAACGCGTATTCATCATTGTTCTTGTCTGCTCGTCTGTTGCAAGCCGCAGCAGACATTATTTTCGTCTAGATATGCAGCGAATCATTAACAATAAGCTGCAACCCCGATACAAACTCGGGCGAGAATGCAACGACGGCGGCAAAATTTGTGCGCCAGCCCCCATGTTTATAGTATATAGAGAAATACGCAGCAGAACACAACACAGCGCAGCTCCCTGGGTGGGGTTTATCGTGCTATCTTTGGCTGCGGCTGCAGATCCTCTTTGAACTGAGGGGCCTTTTACACCCAAAATACGCAACGACATACACTCGAAACGAACAACCAAACAAATCAACCCAACATACAGAACAGACAAAGCCAGAACAGATGCTAACGGCGGACCCCAACTCCCAAATAGCCCTCTTCAACTGCAAAGCATATATATATATATATATATATATATATATATA